CGCGCTGGGCAGCTGCTGGAGGGCGAGGAGGAGGGCAGCAGCTCTGTGCCCAGCACCTGGGCATGCTGCTCAGGGAGGAGCTCTTCTTTTAGTGTATAAATACAAAGGTATCTTTTCTTTTCATACATAATTTTAAAAAATGTCATTTAAGTTAGTGACAAATTTTACCAATTAATTTATCCTTTGTGTGTAGCAAGTGACAAGTGACAGGTAGTGAGCAACAAAATCCAGTGTTTTCAGTGTTATGGATCAGTGTCAGCATGGTTGCTGTTGATAAAGGATTCTAAAGCAACCCTTTGTTGTACGTAACAAGTGGTTAAGTCTACAAAGAAATGTCATACGCGAGCTGCTGAGTTAGATACCACCTACTGGTAATCCTGGAGCAAATGTATAGCTTGAAAGTTTGTGGATTCTAAGGCCGGTGTTTGTGCTTTGCTCTCTGTGAGAGGCTCTCCCTAGGACAGTTCCATGCTGTTAGCTCTGCTTACTGCCAGGGCAGGATGCATTGCATTAAACTCTTTAACTATAGGAAATTACATACTAGGGTAAAAATAGCATGTAAAAACCTGTTACTATCCCATTTGAAAGCAGCAGGGAAGACCAAGGTTAGCACCTTTATTACTAGAAAGAGGTGGAAGCTCGTGTATTTGTAAAGATGTTGAAGTGGCTTTCATTTGAAAACGTGTTTTGTTGCTGAACATTTTTCTAGCCTCCAGTTAGCGAATTTGAAAGCTATGATAGGTGCAATACTTCATGTGTTTATCTGAAACATGGACAAAGGAAGGATGATTAGCTAGGAAACTGCTTTGAGATTACCTTTAAAATTGATAAACCTGTGCTGCTGGCCACAAGGATGAACTGAAGGTGTGGGCCGAGGTGTGATGGAAGCCCCACTCTGCCAGCTGACCCCTCCTGCTCTGTGGCAGTCTGCTCTGGAACAAAGCAGAAACCTGTTCTTATCTATCTATCTATCTATCTCTGGGTTAGTTTTTTAACCAGCAGAAGAAAAAAGTAATCTGTAAAGCAGAGGTACTGGCAACTGAATAAAATGAAAGAGCAAAGATTGTGGTTGGAATCCCTAGCGGCCATCGAGAATATCTGCTTTTTGCTAAAATATTTGGAATTTGGGAGATTTGGAAATTCTTATTTGGGAATGAAAATTGTCCCATTCAAAATAAAGCCTACAGAAGAATGTTTTAATAGTGCAATATTTTAGATTCCTACAAGCCGAGAACTGAGAGAAAAGTGAATTTGAAACTCAATCAGCATCAAATGAAAGTATTATTTGGAGCACTGTGTTGTGACATTTTAAAACAAACCAAGATGTCGTTAGCAGATGAGAATATGTAAAACCATGATCAGTTAAATGCTTGTGGGAGAGACTGAAGACATCACCAGAAGATGTGTCTCTGATTTTCTCAGGAAAACCATGGACACCAGATGTCCAATTTTCAGTTGGATACTGGTGCAGAAGTTAGTGTCTTCCTGGAAGCAGTTTTGCTAGCAGCTGAAATCCATAGATAGGAGGAGATTAAGTGATAAACTCCTGAAATTATCCCCACAAAAAGAGTTCGTGAGATTAAGTGTATGGGTAAACCAAAAAGAAAAATGTTATGTGTAATAGCGCCAGATTAAGAGGGCACTTACTGGGTTACAACTGTCTTTTGCACTTGAAGTATTTACAGCCAAGAAGGGGAAGACCAGAATTAATGAGGTATAGTTTCGGGATGTCCTCCAAGCAATCCAGTAGCATAGACAGCAGAAGTGAAAGTGCCCTCCACAAACATGCTGTGTGAAGACTGGGCTAGAAACCAGGCTAGAAGGAAGATCAGTTATTCCTTTTGTCTTGTAAGCTGAATAGGAGGCATGGAGTCCCTTGGTTATTCAGGTATAAGCCTCAGGTTGTGGGGCTTAAACCTGTGTTAACTGTGTACAGGGAGAACATTTTCTGCTGTCTACAAATAAAGGGAGAAATCAGTGGAAGTGCATAATGTCAAATACATGCATTTTTATGCTGCCTGTGTTTGTGGGGTTGTGGTAGGATCGCTCAGAAAAGGCAGTATACATAGTTAAACCCACACTGAGTATCCCACACTTTGGGACATACTGTTTCCTCAGAGCAATGGTTGTGTTTCATACCCAGGCCTTTCTCAGAAAACCCATCACATCGTTGGTGGGACAGAGAATACTAAGATTAACATAGTATTTTGAGCTGGAAAAGTGCATGGCATGATTAGAGGCTCTTGAAAAGAGCAGTCTGTTGGCCTCAAGCTACACAAACAAAAATGTAAATTATGTGTAGGTGAAACAGGATGCCTGGCTGAGCTAGTGCACCAAGGTGCATGTACAAATAAATCACTGTAAAGCTGAGGCTGTCATTAATGTGCTTGCCGAAGCAACTGAAAAAGCATAAGCAAATTCTTGGGTATAGTTTTAGTTTGACGCTTCATCTAAGCAAGTGGATCTTGCCCCTGTGCCATGAGGTGCGTGGAGCAGGGGAATGCTGACTTGGGGCAGCAGCCTCTGTTACCTCTTATCCTCTGCTCTGATGGATACTGGAGAACTGCCCGAATCATCCTAATCACAGGTATTGGGTAAATGATTATCAATATCATCAAGTAGGGGGAAGAGGATGGTCTGGCCATGGCATACAAGACTATTCAAAATAGGAAACATTTAACAGGTAAACATTGTTTACCCTTTTTAGCTGAAATTGACCCAAACCAGCTTGCCATCCGGAGCTTCAGGTTTGTTTTTCAACTGCTGAAGTGATGGGTTGGAGAAAGTTTGCTCAAAAAACTTAAATATGAAATGTTTGTTTTAGCAGGTGTATTGTATTTTACATACAGGCCAGTGCTGCTGTCTCTTACTTTAGAGAATGTGATTTATATGTTATATATTACATTGATGAGATTGCTAGGAATCTTGAGATCTGGAGTTTTTTAAACAAAACAAAACAAAAAATTCTGTTTCTTCGTATGGGTCAGCAGTACTGATTCTATAATACTCCAAGTCTCCTGAAGCACAGGAAAGAACCTTTAACACCTGTTCCACAGAATTTCTCTTAAATGGTGCTCAGCTGCTTCACTCTTCTATACACAAACTAAATATTACCTATGGACGTTGATTTATTAGTTTTCAATTCAATTTTTGTTACTATAATATTAAGCTTTTTACAAGGGCTGTACGCTGTCTGCAGAACTTTCCATACACGATTAGCTTTAAAAAAGTCTATTAACAATCCCAACACACTGAATTTATTTTTGTAGTATTCAGATTAAGAGCATTCTGACAATGTATATGATTTTTTTTAAAACTCAGCATCTGATATTAGCAGTGTGATGGCTATTACTGGCAAAGTTGCTGCTAACATCCAGAGAATAAGTCGACATACTTGTGCAGTCCGGCTAGTTCACCAGGACAGACTTTGTGGAAACAACACCCGTTGCTGGGCCCCGTGGCAAGCTTGCCCCAGGTGCTCAGGAGCTGAGCAGGTGAGTGCAGGGCCTGGGACATGCCTTGACACACTGCCAGGCTTGGGGAGCTGGAGGCTTTCCCTCCTACCATGCTGATTATATGGCTCTCTGTGTAACAGTTGCACAACTGTATTGTCAGTTTATATGTGTGTATATATGTATATATTGAGAGAGAGATACATATATATATATACACATACATATATATATATGTATACATACACACACACACACACATTGTTATGACATGTGGCTAGTAAAACAATGAAAGTAACTACACCTTTTCCCAACTCGGTGGAACTATGTGTAGTAGTGTAATAGCTGCCTGCTCCTGGCAGGTTTACTGGGCAGTTTCAGGAGAAAGCTGATGAACTGCAGCTCCTTACTCTTCTGAGCCCAGCTTGTGGTCTGCAGGGCGAAGCAGCAGCCGCTCGACGTTGATTATCGGGCTTTAAGCAATAGCCCAAGCTTGGGGCCTGTAGGGCAAGATAGGACACGGTGGGTCAGCCTTGCTGAATTCTAATGCTCTGGCATGCATTGAGACACAGACACTTTCTCTAAATATGCATCTTCTCTCTGAACTTAATAACAATGCTGCCATTTCCCCTCTACAAATATTTTTGTTCCTCCAGAACATCTTGCTGTGACTTGAGCCCTTGAGACAGCCTCCATGCGAGCAGATGCCATCACTGAACTCTTACCTAAGGGGCAGATTTCTCTTTTTAGTGTGTCGTTCCGGTACTTGCCATTCAGAACTGTGGGTGTGCAAGTAGGAGCCAGCTCTATACCTACACTGCCTTCTGTGGGCAGCTGGCATATGTTCATGTGAACAGCCAGAGTAGCAGCCTGCATACAGTTGGTGAAGTCTGCTGGAGTTGTGCAGGGAATGTGACTCAGAGCAGGTAGGTTAGGTGCTGAAATACACGCAGTGAACATCCTCTTGAGACTTCAGGTTTACACTAGCACCTTTTATAGAAAGTTTGGTGTCATCTTAATTTTTGATTTGAAATTGAAGTTTACCATCAGTTACCAGGCGGTAACTTTTACAGAGCCCACGGCCTGTCTTAACAAAAGTTGTGGGAGAATTCACATAAATTGATTAGCAATATTTGCTTCTCACATTATTCATAGGATGTCAAGAAGTATGAAAATACAAAAATTTAACATATGTCTGCTTGCTGCTTTCCCACTCAGTTTCTCACATAAGTTCGTTGAGTAAATACTCTCTTTGAAAATACCACTTTGAACCCTGGCGATGGAGACTTTCTTATTATTATTTTCTTAGATGTCTGCCCAGATGTGAAATAGTGTATTCCAATGTTAATTTTATATGCTTGGACTGTGGCCATTTTTATCTTATTCTAATTTTCCTTATGCCATAGTTAAAGTTACTATATCTATTAATCCCCCTTGTTACCCTGCGTTGTATCTTTTTTGATTTCTTTGTTGTCTTTCCTCAGAGCATCAGTTTTCATTGATCCATTTACTGTGCCTAATGCAGTAAAACAGTAGTATCTTTTGTTGGATCTCTGTGGCAAATGCCTTTATTTCTGAATGAAATGATAATGTTGTTAACTTATGTAAAGGCTTCCCGACAGAATAATAACTGGGGATGGACAAGTGATTCAGATGTAATGTGAAGCAGTCCGCTTGGTTTACGCTCCGCCGTCTGCCTCACATCTGCTCAGGGAAGGTGGTCCTGGGTTTGCTGCACGAGGAGTTAGGCAGGTCCCTTGCCCAGATGCAGTTTGTTGCAGCAGGATCATAGAGGAAGCCTAAAACTTGCACTGTTTTTCTCTTCCTGAAGTCATCTCCTATCCAAAATATCAAAAATAGTTTCACCAGTTCTTTTCCCAATTACTGTAGTTAAACCAATGTCAAAATGCATGCCAAAGAGTAGAAGATATCGATATAATTTTAATTACAGCTGACTTGGCACATTCCGTATATTTGCATTGAATTTTAAGGCTGTCTTTTTTGTTGTTTTGCACAAGTTATGTTTTTTGATGGCTCCCAGGCTGGGATGCAGAGGCAGCAGCGACGCTGCTCTCCTGGAGCACTGCTAGCACGTGCTCCTCTGCAGATACAGTCCAGGAGTCCTGGGATGAGGCGTACCAAGCTGCTTAGAATTAAAGAATTGTCCTGGTGATTTGGGTATCATGGTACAGTGTTTGCCAAAGCTTTCAACAGATGGCAGGCTTATGAAGGTTGTGTATGTGCAATAAACTGCTGATTCTTTTGCTGTTAGCTTTCATTTGCTGGATAGAAAGGATATGATCACACAAATCCTTTTATCTGGACTGCACGCTTCATGTTTTGATAAGAACAAAAAAAAGTGCATCTCAAGACTTGAAATGTTTTAAAGTGTTGCTAGGAAAATAAGTCATCTTGGTTATTGTAGAAATAGCTCCTCTAGCTCCTCTTCTGTGACTCTGACATCTTTCTGATCTTAGATTTTGTCTACAACCATTTATTGCTTAAAAATTTAATGACAGCTCAACTGGAAAGGATTAAGTCAGCAAGATTTGACTTTTTTCTTGACAGGTGCTGTTATACTTTTGGGAAGAGAGCCTCCAACCTAAGCAATCATCTCTCCTCCCAGTGCTTAGAGGAGGCATTCCCTGCACCAAGCCTGCCCTGTGTAGCACTTGAGCACTGACGTGACTGTGGTCTAGGAGAATAACTCTTCTCCTTATCCTTTTATCATTATCTTCTAAGATAGGTATCTATTGATAAATACTAATATGTTCTTTATTTGAAAATACCAAATAAAATTAATATACAACTATTTTGTAAAATATAAGAATTAAGCAGTGGGTAAATTTCTAATCATATGCTTATTAATCATATGCTTGAATAAAAAGCATTATTTTTTATTACAGGAAAAAACATAGTTTTGCTTTTAATGTTGGGGAGAGAGTAAATTAGTATGAGCATTGTATGTTCAAAGAACGAACAAAATACCTCTCCTGGATTTTAAAATTTCACACTATTTCACACCAGGTTGCTACAGTAATTACTGTTCCGTCATTGCCATTGTGGCAGTTATCCTATCTGGTATCTATTGCTGTTTGAGAAGTAACAGGAATACAGAAGTGCTGTGCTGCTCTACTTTGTTTAGTTAAACTACATCTTTCTGGACATTAATAGTGAAGTGTTTTAAACAGGAATAGCAGTAAATTACAAAGTCCACTCAGATAGATTTAACTTCTTAAAAGTGATTCAGCTAGCAGTTTTAAAAGAAATGCTGTCTGTCTTTTCTTTCTTGTGCTGGCTTTTATTGTAAGCAGTTTCTAAGTATTTATATTAAATCATTATTTGTAAGAGAGATGCAAATCTCAGTAAGTGAAACTTTCAAAAGGCAGGAGCTTCTCTAGAGAGTAAGCTGCAGAATAGTAAGTGCTTCATCTTTAGTTGGCTCGTCCAAATCTGGTCTGTATGAACTGGCTGTTGCTTCTGCTTAGCTGCTCTTGAGTGTTTGCAAAGATGTTCTCAATGTAAGCTCTAGTGACTGAGTGGTCCAGCTCCTAGGTATTCAGGGTGTGAAACTTTTTTTTTTTTTTGCAGTAAGATCCTCGTGTAATTCCGTTGAAGTAGTTGGAGTTGTATCTGGCTGCTGAAGATCGCTTTTTGTGAAGATCCTTTTGGAAGTGTGACAGTAGCTGGGTGGTCATGCTCCGAGATGCACATGTTGGAACAAATCTAAAAATCTGTTTACTCTCTGCTTAAGAGATGGAGCTGTGCTACAACAGTGCTGTGACTTCTGTCAGTGCTTTTTCTGTGCAGCTTGAGGCTTGTGTGTTCATTGAATAAACACAGGCTATTGTGCAAATGAGCTACCAGCGTGACACATTTCACATATGAGAACTCTGATGTGAAAAAATAATCAGTGTTACAGTATGGGTGTATTATATTTACTGTAAGCATGCTATAGTGTGGGCAAATACAGAGCAGCAGTCTGTTGTAGGTCTGTTGTTAGCTAACTGGGCACCTGTCCAAATATCATTAAAAATATTGACATTTAGTAATTTGTTTTTTAATAATATTTAATTAACTGCTATTTAAACACCTCTGCTCACACTGACCTACATGTTCTTTTTTTAAAAGTTCAGTACAGATAACAGATTTGACATGTGTAGTGCATAGTGTTTTCTGAGAGGGAATAGTATGCACCTCTAACTTCAGAAATCTTTTGGTTCTAAAAAGAATAAACAAATGCATGATACTTAATGTTGTCTTATTTGTTTTTCAGACTAGCATTGTACGTATATGAATATCTGCTCCATGTAGGAGCACAGAAATCTGCCCAGACATTTTTATCAGAGGTATGTTTCCCCAACTTTTTCTTTCCACATTTTTAAGTGTATGCAAGTAAAATGCATGTAAAATAAGTGTATGTTGTTTTAAAATAAACATCAGTGATGTCCTTGAGTTTCAGTTTACATTGACGAGCACAGACTTCTGTAAAGAATGTGTAAAAGCTGGCGTGCCGAGCTGTTTTACATGCCATGGTAAATTGCTTGTGCTGTGACTTGTTACCCTCTGCTTCCTCTGCTTTGCTGCTACGCTGAGAGATTCCCCCCGTTCGCTCTAATACGTGCTCCCGTTAGAGAATGCATGGAGGGAGGGTGCTGCTTTCTAATGCTCTCCTAACTTATTCTTGATACCTCCAACTGTGAATAATGCACCATCCTAAATACACATCAATCAAATGTTTTACATCCCATCGTCATCTACTTGCAGTTCTTATTCCCCTAACCCATGCTAATTTCAACATATATTCTTTACATCCTCCTAACCAGCTCTCTTCTTTTCTTCTGGTGAATCAATTATGACTATAACTGTTCAGAGCCTATTTCTTAAACACTTTGTAACAGCTAAATGGAAACACTGTTTTTTTTTTTCCATTACACAACAGTTATTATTATTCATAGTCTTTTAGAGACTTGTATACAGCTTTTGAAGATTGAAAATAAAAACCCCAAACTTCATCTAGCATTCTGTATTTATTCTGGGATACATAAATACCTGTGCATCAAACATATTGAAGTCTTTTCAGGTTATTATTGTTTTTAATCTTCCTTTGAAGTGATTATAACAACTGGGTAGTGAGCAGAGAGAAGTAAAAAAAAAAAAATCTAAATGTTATACTTAGAAGATTAGCTGCTTCAACTGATAGTCCTTCAAAAGCTGCAGAATCTTGTGCTAGAGATAGGAGAGAGGAGAGGACGGAAACCGAAGGGTTGTTTGTGGTAGCTGTCATAGAAAGTTCAAATAACATAGCTAGGCATAGGGGTACATTAATGGTAGTATTAATTTAATTAGTTTCTATTAATGTGTGTTTTTTGACAATTGTTTTCTCTCTTTGGAAAATAATGGGAAATTATGAGAGAGAAAGAAAATCAGAGAGTATAATCTTGGCTTTTGCAAGACAGTCACCTGTAAATAACATAGTGTAAAATTTTCTTTGTTCATTTAGTTTTGTGCTATATTTGCAAATTGAGCAGTTGACTGCTATAACATTTGGATTTTAAGAAATTGTTCCAGACAGAGTCTCTGAACTTTGCTTTTAAAACTAATTTGAACTTGTCTTAAGAGAAACTCTCTGACTGAATCTTCAAATTCAGACTACAGCTAAACAAAAGAGAAGGAGTAAGGGACAGTGATAAATAAGAAGGTGTTGGAATGAGTTATCTGCTGGGTTTCACACAGAGCTGTGATTCATTAACAGTGCAGAAGGGAAAATTACGTGCTGATAATATTTGTAAATGATTGTAGGTTGGAACAAACGGCAGTTTTCACTGCCATTGTACCAACAAACCTGGAAAAAAAACTGCTGTTTGGGCTGGAAGCCTCAAAATGAGGTTCCGATTGCAAAAGCAAGACAGCAGTACAGTTAGGGTGTAGGCAGAAATAATCTAAAACATTAAAGTCAGTGGCAAAAGCAACAGGTAAGAATGGTGGTGGCTCTTGGAGCAGACGGGCCTTTACATTATGATGCCTATTAAAACTACAAAAGAATTGTTTTGCTTTTCCCTTCCATGTCCCATGCGGATCAGCTGTAGTTATTAGAAAATTAGTATTGGCATAGAGGATGAAAATGAGAGAGGGGCAGAAAAGTGTACATGGCCGCGGTCACAAACCCTTCCTTGATTCCCGCCAGGGACTGTGACTAAGAGTAATGGAATGAAATTTAAAAAAGAAAAAAAAAAGATGGATATCACGAAGTGCACCTAATCATAGGGGCGCTCATGGAGATGCTCATCTTGGGCATTTCTATGTTGTTGTAATGCTTAGTTCAGATTTCAGAGAGCTGCGTCACAAGTGACCGCGTTCTGGAAGGCTTCTGCTGGGCTGTCTCAGTGACAAGGTCAAGCGTATTTTGGACGCCTTTGTGAACCTTGCTGAGCACATTCCTCAAAGCTCTGCTTTGCCTCATCTCCCTAAAATGTAGGGCCACAAATTCAACTAGTCGTTTCATGGGTCTCTGGATTGCAGAGACCTCTTTAGTTTATTAAGGATGTCTCAGGTCTCTTGGTCAGCAGTGCCCTACCTTCAGGAGACATGGGCTGAAGTCATTGATGGAAGTAACTCCACAGCTGTTGCATCCCAAAATACACAGTGGTCGTATAACAGGCAAAATGGCCAATCCTTAGAGCATTCAGATAGGGCACTCAAATTTTTGAAAGGGAAGAAGCTGCTTCTGTGCTTCAGAACCTTTCCACGGGCTCCAAGGCACCACATCTTCCTTAAAGAGCTGGTCCCTAGGACATACAATATAATGACTTGCCATCCTGGAAGTTAGCTTGCAGCCTTGGAGGAACAGATCCATGAGATTGGGTGGACCCTATACACAGGCATTTCCCATTTGATAGATCACCAGTAATCAACTTAATTGATAAAGCTGACAATGTGGTTACATTTTTATTTAATAACTCTTCCTAATTCTTTTTAAGTCTGTATATTCAGACAGACTAACACCTACCAGGTGAAACAGAAGCACCTATATTTTGAAAAGCAAAACAAACCCTTCAAACAAGAGTGTGAAATACCTCTTCAGTAGCTTTGGCTTTTATTCATGTGCTTTCGTTCTAACTAACATTTTTATCTAGCATAGTTAGTTTAGGAAGAAGTTCCACATTTTAAAAGGTGCTTTTTTTTAACATTTTAACCGCTGTTACATAGGATGCGAATAATGTTTTTCTTTATTTGCTCATTTTATTTGTTTTGTGTTTTAAGCTGCACACATTTTTTTTCTGCCAACTTTGTTGACAGAAGTGGTGGGATCCTAAGTTTACCTTTCAAAAATATTTTTAAATTGCAGAATGATTTTTGAATAGTTGTGCATACTTACACAGTACATCAAATCTATGTTAGGTAACTTCATATGTTATGCTAATGCTAAGAAAACTTTTTAGGCAGTAATCCTACATACTCGTCTTGCAAGCTATTTAAAGAATATGTATATGGTTAAATTAGTTAACTCAATAATTCTTAAGAGTTGGGTGTGGAAATTGCTGGACATGGGAAACCAAGTTTTGTTTCCTTAGAAGCAGCTCCACCAGTGCCTCCTGCAGTATGAACACTAACCTTTCGTGTACGAATTTTAATGCCTTTCTATGTGCTTACATACCTTTCATATTAAATACTGTTTAGGCATTTCATTAAAGTAAGGCTGCTCTCATCTGCCATTGCTTGTGTCTCTACAGCAGAATATGGTAGGTGTTTAACTGCTATTTTTTACAAAAGTGGACAGACTACCCTGCTATGTGTAGTTGCAATGAGAGGAGCTTGGAGCGGACGCAGTGCCCTGGTGTGCACCCCATTATAAGATGACCTGAGCTTCCTGACAGCCATGCGTGGATCTCTGCAGAATCTTAAGTTGTTCTTTGCAGAGTTCCTTAAAACATTCTGCTGGATTTATTGTAGTGCAAACACTTCGCTTTAGTAGTTAAGAATAAGCTGCTGGCTGTAGCGTTAATAAAATGATTGCATGGTATTGTTGAGATTTGGAAAGTACCGCAGGGAGGCCGGATTCTCTCCTGGTGTGTTGTGCCGTCTAGTGAACTAGCTGATCAACACATAAAGTATGAAGCCGAGGACAAGAATCCTTAAACTGCCTTTCCTTTGGAAACAGCATTAAATCAAACAGCCTTCTGAGATAAGAAAGCAAGCCTCAATAGTACCTCCCTATTCAAGAGGGGCTACCTCCCTATTCAATACAGCTGCCTATGTGGCTGTACCAAGGCAAGTTGGTTTTTAATTGGGCCATGGGAGCAAGGGTTGAGCTCTGGTGTTGCTTACAGTTTGTGATGTTCGCTCTAACAGGAAAGTGCTCCTTGAGGATTCTGAAACATTGGCTCCCTTTGGCTGTGGAGGGAAGACTGCCACCTGCTGAATCCCTTACATTGGTTCCCTATCTATCTTAGGTGTTTTTCTTAGGGCAGATTGGAAAATCTTCTGGATAACTTTTAGGGGTGTTGTTTTTCTAGCACTTTTGTGCTAAATATGTTTTTTGAGCTTAACTAGATGCTACCTTAATGGTGGAGGAAAATCAAATGTGTTCTTAATGAAATTGTATTCAAAATCTTTAATAATAAATTTTAAAACATGCTTTGGTAAAATAAGAGGTATCAGCTACACTAGTATGTGTGATTAAGTAAGCAATATGGCCATACAGATTGATAATGATAAAGCCTTTCATAGCTGTAAAATCTTTTATTCTTCTCTTTTTGTTATCTGAATAAATTATGCAATATTTTATAGTCACAGTGATCTCAGAGTTTTTTCTTTCTTTTCAGATAAGATGGGAAAAAAACATCACACTAGGGGAGCCCCCAGGATTCTTGCACTCCTGGTGGTGGTAAGTGTCAATTTTATTTTCCTCTGATTTTTAGAACATGCTGATTGTGAACTTCAGTGGCTGGAGGCAAGAAGTTCAGGAGAACATTGTGAAAAGGATGTGAAGATGAGGATGAAGAACTATTTTATTGGAAAGTGATGAAAGAAAGAAAATTAGATAAAATATGTTTAAAAATAATCACAGAGTTTAATGTTATTTATCAGGTACATATTCAGTCCAAAAAAAAAAAAAAAAGGACCCCTTTGCTCTTATTGCTGTTGTTTTTTTCCTTCACTGGATGAAAAGAAATATTGTATAGCAGATCAATAAAACAGCAGCTTTGAAAGAAGATGGCATGCATTTCTTTTTTCACTGTCTTCCATTACACTGTGCCTTTAAGAGATTGTTCTCTATGTCCTAAATAACTGCATTTGAAAATTATATGTATATATGTATATACTAGGTGTATTTATATATGCATATATAAATAATGTAATATGCATAACGTGATATATTTGTTTATACATACATAGAGAGCCTGTGCAAACAGATGTGAGCTTCCCCAGGCTTCAGGCTACTTTCTAGTCATGGGAGAAGAGTATGAAGGCAATTAGATGCCCCAAAGCCACCAGCCTTTCTGTGAGTTAGCATATGAGAGCACGGGCTGGGTGCTGCAGGAGCTACCTTCGCACGGTTTCTCTCAGTCTAGAATATGAGCTCCCTTGTAATCTTTTATGCATGATACTACTTGCTTATATGTATTGGTGTGCAGAGATAGATTTCTATATGTAAAATTCCAAAGGGAAAG